GCTTCCTCTACTAGTCGCTTGTTATAAGTGACCGAAAACCGAAAATATGCTTTCTCGGCCGCTCGGCGTATTCCTGTATAAGGGAAAAAGAGACACATACATTCTAGGTAACGATTTTAATAAACAGATTTTTTAATAAATTTTAATAATCATATAACCCTTTCATTAATAACAAAAATGATTTTAAAACACAACAGTTTACGAAGTATTAATTGTTTACAATTTTCGAAAAATATGTAAGTGTTACATATTTTTTAATATATCAGAAATTGAATACTAAATGTTCGAAAAAGAATATAAACTTTCTCTGTATTTTTTATAGATGTCATTATTCATGTAAAAGTTCCGGGAAAACTTTACGCGATGAAAAGTGGGACCGCTACCATGGTAGCGGTTTATATGAATAATGACATCTGGTAGCAGTTTATATGGTGGTTATATCGGTGGGATGTGCGAGGTTGACGATGTTTCTTCAGCACTGGCTCTAAATTTTTAAGTCTCGCTAGCTAAGTGTGCGAGATCGATGGGCTTTCTCCCGCACTGCTTCTAAACTCTGAGTTTTAAAGTGTTGGCCAGTTAAGAAAATAAGAGGCCTTGGACGTAGGGGGCTACGTCCGTTCCCAGAGAGAAATTAGGAAAAAAAGGTTGAGAATAATCAAATTAACTAGACTGAGGAAAGATCGGAGAACTCTGTTGCAAGGGCCGCGGTTTATATACCGATTCTCCCTTGGTTGGTAGGGTTCTAATTAAGTGGTGGAACACTTTTCTGACTTCTGGATTGGTCAAGATTTGGGGTACATTGTGGGGGAGGAAAGGAGTCTGTTTTATATCAACAAGTGTCAGTCTTAATTTTACGATGCTTTCTTCTTAAATTATGGGGAAACGCACGTGCACCGAGTAAGACGAGCGCATGCGCAGCGTCGGCACGAAACCGTCAAATACCTCCCCTGGTCGTCGCGTGTCACTTTTGTATTTTATGGCCGCGAACATCGTGAGAATTGTCCGCGACTCCACTGTTAGGAAAATGTTTAGGCGCCAGTCTCGCGGTTTCACTGACATTAATCGTCTTCTTCAAGCAGTGTCCAAGGAGGGTGTCATCGACGCTGTATTAGTTTTCCGCGTCCATTGATTCTTATTTTATTTTAACTGGCGTTAATGGGGAGATATTCTGGAGTCTTTGCTTTTAACTTTTCGTGAGAAAGATTTTTATTACTTTTTAACTTATATGGAGTTGACAACTCCAAGTCTCCGTGAGAAAGAAAAAAAGGGTTGCGAGAATCCGCTGGACGTAACAATATATTTTTATTAGTTTTCAATGCTCACCGGAATTAATTCAAGAAAAATTATGGTACATTCTACTTTTACCTATCTATATTTCGGATAATAACTGAGTAGATTGCATAGCGAATAACTTCTTCAATAGTTCTAGTGAAAACTAGAATTATTCACTTCATAGAAAACTTATTAAATTAAATGTCTAGCCTCTGTAATGATTTTTAATGACACTCTTGTCAAATTGCGACATTATTCTGTGAAAGATATCTCCAGATTTTACATAATTGTGAAACGCAAACACACAGAATTTTTTCAGTCGGAGGTATCTGTGTGAAATATTTGCTAGAGAATATACTTTGTATTTAAAATGAAAATAAACAAACGTCAACACGTAACTTTTATAAGTGACGTGTATTAATATCTTAATAAGCATATTTGCTTTAATTATTTTAATATGAATGTATAAACATTTTTTATGTAAATTTTGCAACAGTTAGTACACGTTTTATAAATTGATTAATTTCTTTCTTGTTTTTACTTATTTGTGCTGATTCTAAGAACGTAATGCGGAAGAGATGATAAATAATTACTAGATATTTCTAGCGTTTATAACACATCTACATGTATTCTATCATTTCAAAATTTATATAATTTACTATGTACATCGTAGCGATTATAGAGATACAAGAATAGAAATGATTTAATAGTGTGGATAAATATCCCCAGTATACTAAGTATAATCAGTGGATGACGGTTATTACTCTGTACTTTCTGTGTATGCTTCGTGCGTGTTATTTTTTTTGCTAGAAGCAGTAAGCTAAAAATATACGACAGTGTATTTAAAATCAATTGGATTTTAATCTATAGCAATTCCGAATAAATTCTTTTTTTATTAAAAATTTGATTTCTTATTCTCATAACATTCTGTTTATAAAATATCTTTTAATGTAATAAAGTTGAAAATATCTTTGTTAATAAATCTTAAGTTATGTTCATCAAAGTGAAGTTTGTTCAATATTATAAAAAATAAAGTTTAATTTTTAGTTTCAAGATTTAATTGTGTATATGTATTATATATGTATAATATACAAATATGTGCATAATATATTGTATAGATACATGTAACATATATCCTACGATAAATTTAATAATAAAAATCTATATTAAGGGGATCCTAAACCGATTATCGAACTTGATAGAAGTATAGACTTTTTTAATTCCAAATTTGATAATAGTGACATCTTTGATTCATTTCT